AAACGAGCAATTTGGAATTCGAGTCTGGAGCACGCGCGTGGGAGGCTAGATACATGAGATGGTGGCAGAAAGTTGGTCGGTCGATGGGGCTAAAAGTACAAAAGAGGAACGGAGAGCAGAGCAGTGCGATGTGACTTAGCCAGAGCACATGAGGCACGCGTCGCGGTTTTGAATCGAGCAAAGGAGTTGATCCGCCTCGAGCTGGCGAAGCTTTTGCCTCTCGAGGGCTGCGGCGAAGCCAGGGTCCACGTCACCATTGGCGGCGGACTCGAGCTGCTCGGTCTTCTGCTTCTCGACCTCTGCGACAGCCCTGGCGTCCTGGATGGCCTTGGCCTCTTCGGCCGACCTGATACCAGGTCCGTCCTTGGTCACGGTGCCGTCGATGCCGAGCTTGCCTACGCCCGACGTAAGCTCCTCGACGCTGGGCGCGGCCACCTTGGCAACAGCCACGGGCTCGACAGCCACCACGGGTGCGTCCTCGACCTTCTTGACCGTGCCGCCAGTGCGCTTGGCAGCGGCCTTGGCCTCGTTGACCTCGGCGACGGAGAGCGTAAACTGGACGGCGTTGGAGGCGGGCTTGGTGCGCAGGTAGTAGGTACCAGTCTTGAGCCCCTTCTTCCAGCCGTAAAAGTGCATCGAGGTGAGCTGGCCAAACGTCGGCGCCGAGAGGTGAATGTTGAGCGACTGCGACTGGCAGATGAACGCGCCACGGTCGGCGGCCATGTCGATGATCGCCTTCTGGCTGATCTCCCACACGGTCTTGTAGAGCTTCTTGATGCGGTCGGGGATGCCGGGCACGTTCTGGATCGAGCCGCCGTGCGCAATGATGCGGTTCTTCATCGTGTCGTTCCACAGGCCCTGCTCGACGAGCTCGCGCAGCAGCCACGGGTTGACCACCTGGAACTCGCCGGCGAGCACGCGGCGCGAATAGATGTTGGACGTGTACGGCTCGAAGCACTCGTTGAATCCGAGGATCTGCGAGGTGGAGGCGGTGGGCATGGGTGCGAGGAGCAGCGAGTTGCGCAGGCCGTGCTGAGCGATCTTGGCCTTGAGCTCGGCCCAGTCCCAGAGGTCCGAGGGGGTGACGCCCCACATGTCGTACTGGAGCTCGCCCTGCGATGCGGGCGAGCCGGCGTAGGTCTCGTAGGTGCCGTGCTGCTGCGCCAGCTCGCACGAGCGCTCGAGCGCGGCGTGGTAGATGGTCTCAAAGATCTGCACGTTGAGCTTGCGCGCCTCGGGCGACTCGAAGGCGTAGCCCATGATCATGAAGGCGTCGGCAAGGCCCTGTACGCCGATGCCGATGGGGCGGTGGCGCATGTTGGAGCGGCGCGCCTCCTCGACGGGGTAGTAGTTGATGTCGATGATCTTGTTGAGGTTCTTGCAGATGGCCTTGGCGACCGAGTGGAGACGCTTGAAGTCGTACGTCTTGGACACGGGGTCGATGAAGGTGGGCAGAGCGATGGAGGCGAGGTTGCAGACGGCGACCTCGTCGGGCGAGCTGTACTCGATGATCTCTGTGCAGAGGTTGGAGCACTTGATGGTGCCGAGGTTCTTCTGGTTGCTCTTGCGGTTGGCGGCGTCCTTGTAGAGGATGAAGGGGTTGCCGGTCTCGGTCTGCGACTCGAGGATGGCGTACCAGAGCTTCTGCGCCTTGACGGTGCGCTTGGAGCGGCCCTCTGCCTCGTAGCGCTCGTAGAGGCGCTCAAACTCGTCGCCGTAGCAGTCTGCGAGGCCGGGGCACTCGTTGGGGCACATGAGCGACCAGTCGCCGTTCTGCTCGACGCGCTTCATAAAGAGATCGGGCACCCAGAGCGCGTAGAAGAGCTCGCGGGCACGCACCTCCTCCTTGCCGTGGTTCTTGCGCAGGTCGAGGAACTCAAAGACGTCCGAGTGCCAGGGCTCAATGTAGATGGCAAAGGCGCCGGGACGCTTGTTGCCGCCCTGGTCGACGTAGCGTGCGGTGTTGTTGAAGACACGGAGCATGGGGACGATGCCGTTGCTGACGCCGTTGGTGCCGGCGATGTAGGAACCGGTGCCGCGGATGCAGTGGATGTTGAGGCCGATGCCGCCTGCGGTCTTGGAGATCATGGCGCACGTCTTGAGCGTGTCGTAGATGCCGTCGATGGAGTCGTCCTTCATGGTGACGAGGAAGCACGACGAGAGCTGCGGGTGCGGGGTGCCTGCGTTGAAGAGGGTGGGGGAAGCGTGGGTAAAGTACTTTTGCGACATGAGGTTGTAGGTCTCGATGGCGCTCTCGATGTCCTCGCCGTGGATGCCGACGGCGACGCGCATGAGCATGTGCTGGGGGCGCTCTGCGACCTTGCCGTTGATGCGGAGGAGGTAGGAGCGCTCGAGCGTCTTGAAGCCGAAGAAGTTGTAGTGGAAGTCGCGCTCGTAGATGATGGCCGAGTCGAGCTGGTCCTTGTGTGCCATGACGACCTTGTAGGTTGCGTCCGAGATCATGGGGCTGTGCCTGCCGTTCTTGGGGTTGATGTAGTCGTAGAGCGCCTGGACGACCTGGCTAAAGTTCTTGCTGGTCTCCTTGTGGAGGTTGCTGATGGCGATGCGCGCTGCGAGGACGGCATAGTCGGGGTGAGTGGTGGTCTTGTAGGCGGCGGTCTCTGCGGCGAGGTTGTCGAGTTCGACGGTGGTGACGCCCTCGTAGATGCCGTCGATGACCTTGCGGGTGATCTCGATGGGGTCGACATAGTTCTGGTCGAGGCCGTAGCAGAGCTTGGAGATGCGGGCGGTGACCTTGTCGAACTTGACCACCTCCTTGCGACCGTCTGTGGGAAGAAATCGGAGCGAGACGCCATGTCAGCACGATGGTCGCGAAAGGCAACGAGGCGCAAAAGGGAGCAGGAGACTTACCTCGCTTGTACACGTAGATCATTGTTGTGCTGTGTGCCGCAGGCAGCTATGCGGAAGCGGACTGGCTGGTTGAGAGGGGTTTGCACCAACGGGTGGGGTTGGTGGTGGCGAAAGCGACGCGCTTGGGTAGCTCCGAGGGCAGCAAAGGCTGGAGGCGAGCGCTAGATGACGTTCCCAAGGGGGGAGTTGGGGTATAGAGGTGCAAGATGGAAGAGTAAGGGAAGGAGTCGAGGGGAGAGGAGGGCGACGATGGAGGAAGAAGGAGAAAGCGAGTCGCGACGACGCGGTGGAGCAATATATGTCTGGGCGCGAGGCGTTGGAAGCGGGCTGCTGCTGTGCTGCACAGAGGCAAATTTTGCGGGCTGTTGTGTAGTGTTGGTTGCTCTGCTGCGCGTTGTTGTGCCGTGCTGTGCCGTGCTGTGCTGTGGTGAAGGACGAGTTGACTGAGCCGTCGATGCCCTTTGCCGGCGCCCATTTACACCAACTCCACGTCGCGCTTCTGGCGTTGGGACGCGCGCTCTGCTCGCGGCTTTGGCTGAGGGCTGCCCTGAAAAGCTGCACTGATCTGGCTCGACGCGACTTTTTGCCAAAACCTGGGCGAGAAGAGCGTGTGGGTGACTGTCGAGTGGAATTCGATTCTGCAGCGGTAAGCCCGAGCTGTGATTTGATAAAGCGCGACGAGAAGCGCGCGCGAAGACTGCAAGACGCGTGACGGGGCCGCGCAGCTCGCGTTGCGTGTAAAGTGCAACCACCGGAGTTTAGGGACAGGGCGGAATGGGCAGCAAGAGAGACGAGACCAACACACGCATTCGCACACGCCCCGACCCAAGCTGCAAAGCCCAAGCCCGCCTCGGCCTCGATCGCCGGGTCGCGTCCGTACTACTGTACGCGCTTGCTGGCAAGATCAGAGCGCGCGCGCGTGTCTGCTTCCCCGCGCCGCATGTGCACTCGGCGCGGCCCACGATCTCGGGGTTTCCACAGCTCCGTGAAGCAGGCGCGTACAAAGGCAAGCCGCGTCGATCGCTCCGGACGTCAACTCCACAGGGCTTGCTTTGCGAATGTCCGGCTATGCAGACGTCATCGCAGGGCGTATCGTAATCGCGTTGGCGTTTTTGCCGTGCCTGCATCACGCGACAGACCACGTTTGGTGGTGGTCGGGCGAGCACATAGTAGCGAGCGAGATTCTCCCGATTTTGTTGCAAAGGCTTGCCTTATCGGGTCCGATATCGGCAAAGTACGCTGCTGTGCCCGTCCTTTGGTCGGCAAGATGCAGCGCTGCACGCAGTCAGATCCAGATCGGCGAGCCGAACGGTTCCTTCGGAATCAGTTCCGATGGCTTGGCCAGCCAATGCGATGTCGCAGCAACGGTGAGCGGCCTCTCGTGCGGAACAATGTGCGGAAAGGGGTCAAGCAAAAGTTGGCGCCGCACTGACGATGACAGGCATGCTCGACTCGGCGACCAAAAAGAGAGTTAAGCGAGAGCTCGTGTTCCACAGCTGAAGCGGTAAAGCGTCGGCCCCTTGCATGGCGCTTCAACTCTACGCTGCACTGCCTAATGAAAGCGTCTCATCCGCCGCGCCGTCGCGCTATCCACGCCAAAGGTACGCGCCGGTCCGAGTCCGAAAGCCACACGACTCTCTGTGATCTTGGCATCGTCTCTGCTTGCAATGGTAAAGGAGCGAGTCTGATGAGACCGGCTGAACATCAAAGCAGTTGGATCTGCCGATGATTTTTTTGGTGGTCGTGCGTATGCGTGTGCGTGCGCGCATACAGCCGACTGGGCAAGGCCAGAGTCGAAGAAGGGGCTCAACCGACTCGGATATTCGATGCGAAGCTCGGTTGGGCTCGCGGCATGTGATTTTTTGGCTCGCAAGCGCCCAGCCCAGCCCCAAGGATCGCCGCTTTGAGTGGGCTGCAAGCTTGCCAGGGGCGATTCCCGTTCCGAGCCGCTTTGCATCGGCCCACGGTGGTGCGCTTCATAGGCCACACGCAAACGTACAAAGGCGCATACATTGTGTTCTCGATTGAAAGACGGGGAAAAGCGGTACCTGCGCGGGAAGATGCCATAGCAGGTGAGAAAGGTGATTCGCGTGGCTCTGATGCAAGCCGGTAGGTCGGGTCCAAGACTGTCAAAAGCTGTCGGACTCCCAGCTCGGGCTCAACAAGGTCGCGCCGTCGCGCCGCGATGCAGCAATTTGATCAGCCGCTTCCAAGTCCGCCGCCTCCTTTGGCTCTTTCCGCCTTCTGTCGGTTGAGCAGACGTGGCTTCCATGCGAAGCTGCCGTGTGCGCAATCTTGAACTTTTCGGCCTTGGCTAGCTTCCATTGGCGGAAGAGCGGCCGCAGTGGTTGCAGTGCAAGGCAGCGGATCGGAAGACCGCCGAATTGCTGCCTGGAATCTTTCTCGACAGCCACGACAGCCGCGTTGATCCAACGCGCTCCCGCCACCTGCGCTGCCACCTTCGCTGCCGCCACACGGACGCCCATCACACTCGAGCCTCCACGCCACGCAGCAACCAACACGGCCTCGTCGGTTCCTTCCGCAACCAAGCGCGTGAGCCGGAGCTTCCGATATGGCGCGGTTGCCAGGCGCAGGTTCAAGCATTGACGTCGGAGCCTTGGTTCCCATGATTGGATCAAGCGCAACCCAAAAAATCATGCATCCACTCCATGCAGGTGCGGCAGCCCTCTTGAGCCCCGCACCGCGCCTCACCACACCACCAAAAAGGAAAAAAAAAAAAAGAGAAAAAGGGAAAAAAAGGGAAAAAAAGAGCCGCCCTTCGTGAGCTAAAGTGCTGACCTGCATGTCGGATTCAACCGATTGGCATCTGGACGGCCAACTGGTGCCATCACTCTTCCAGCGCCGTCCGTCGTCGAGCCCCCGTCGGCTCGTCCGTGTGACGCGAGACCAACTCTTGAGCAGAACAGCCCAGAGCGGAACACACACTCCTCATGCCGCTCGAATCTCTCAGATCTGGAAGACGGGCATGCATGCATGCACCGCACCGCACCGCACCGCGCCGCTCGCCGCTCGCCGCTCCCTTGACCCTGAGCTTCGCCCCTCGGCGCATCTCCCCTTTGGCAAACCCTTTTGAGCCTCTTTGAGCCTCTTTGACCGCCTTCTTGCTCACTCTTGCCAGGCCTCAACCCGGCATTCGACTCGGCTCGCAGCTTGGCTTCGCTCCTCCATCTCTGTCGCCTCGGTCGCCACCAAGCCATCTCGCACCCACTACCGCTTGCGCGTCTGCGAACTCGATTCTTTCTCACGCAGCCTTCATCTCGCCATTCGCACGCGCAAACACGGCAAATCCGCCCCGCAAGAGGCTTTCATTATTCTGCACGAGCGCTGTCATTGTCCCGTACTAGCGGTATCGTTACCCTTCGAGCAGCGCGCATATCCGCAACGACTCTCGAATACCTAGCCACCGGCTATTTACGCTCAAGCACACACGGCTATAGACCGAGCGCGAACCGAGCGCACATCGCCACAGCCTAGCTTGCTTTCAGCAGCTTTGAGCAGCGCTTGGACCGCCCTACACGCAGGTTCCAAACACTCCCCTCGGCCGTCTACAAGCTCGCCTCCGACCTCCTCGGCCCAGCAAACTACAACATCCGGCCCAGCGCGCTGCTCGAGATACCGAACTTGCCCCCTCCTTCTCTCCCTCTCCCTCTCGCTTCCACCCCCTCGCATCCTCCCTTCATCGTAGATCCGCCGCCATGGGTCTCTTTGACGTCGGATCCCTCAGGTCCAAGAAGCTCTCTGCTGCAAGGGAGGCTTCCACAAGCGACTCCCAATTCTTGCAGCGTCAAAACGACCAGAGGCTCGCTGCCGATCTCGGACTCTACTCAAACTCGCGGCAGGCTGCTTCCACCCGCTCCCTGTCCGCTCAGCATCCCGCTTCCCACCATGCCGCTCCAGCCGCGCTTCATACAAAGCGCAGCGCCTCCGGCATGTCCTCCACAGACGCACTCAGGCAGTCCAAGCTCGAACGCATGATGGGCGCCGGCGTGCCCCAGATCCAAGTCGTCAGCCGCAACGATCGTCGGGCGCCTTCGGCTCAGATCCACTCGATCTCTGCATCGGTCGACTCGCATCACCATCGCTCGCAACCCTCGCAGCATACCATTCGTGGCCCCGCAATCTCCAGGACCAAGTCCATCTCCGAGGCGAGCGACGCTCACTCGAGCTTCTCGCGCTCTTTCTCCACCGACATCTCCAACTCCATGTCCGGCGCATCCACCACCTTCACAGAGATGGCCGAAGTCGACTGCCCTGTCTGTCTCGAGCCGCTCTCCCACCGCCTCGCAGGAGAAAAGCCGCACGTCGTCCCCACTTGCGGACACGCACTCCACAACGCCTGCTTCACTGCAATCTACGGCTCTCCCGAGGCGCTCCTCGCAGCACAGAACTCGGCGAGCCGCCTTCGCCCCGCAGGCTCCGCCTCCAGGCACAGCGTAGGCCCGCCCGGCATGTGTGGTGTCTGCCGCAAGCCCATCGCACTCGGCGAAGGGAACACCTCCAAGTCGCACAAGCTCGCCGGCATCAATGGCCTCGCAGCCGCAGCGCCGGCGCACGATGCCGACGTCGCATTCGCCGACGCCGACGCCCCCTCGCGCGCCCACCACGACGACCCGCTCGACCTGCCTTCCTCCACCAAACATCGTCACGTCATGAGCTCTTCGGCTTCCTTTTCGTCCACCTCGTCCAACACGCACACCCTGCCCACTGTGCGCGCCAGACCCGAGTTCCCCACCATCTACTGCAAGCCCAACGGCAAACAGCCGGCCAAGCTCAACGTCGTCTCGGTTCTTTCCATCGAGGTCCCCAGTCGCCGCTCGCCCAACGACCCGCGCGACCATGCGCTCGACACCATCTCGGACGAGTACGCCGAGGACAGCCTCAGCAACGGCGCGCGCGACGATGACGACGACCACTCTGACGACCTCAAGCGCAGCGGAAACGGCTGGCCAGCCTCGGCCAACGACGCTGTGTCGGACGATTGCAGCCGCAGCCGCAGCCGCAGTCCCATGCCTGATGCCCGCGTCGGATTCACCGAGCAAGGCGACAAGCACAATGTCATGGCACGCGTCGAGTCGCCTAACGACCAGGGCTTCTCCTTTGGTGCCACCCCCGCCGGTCTGCCAGCCCTGGATCCCACACGCGCCATCCTCGACGACCTGCAACAGCGCGTCGCCGACTGGAAGGGCCACTCGATCGAGCACTTTGGCCCGCTCGTTCTGCACGATCTGCTCAACATCCGCCAGGACTCGGTCGTGCGCGAGTTCCACGTCTATCTCTTCCAGGAAGCGCTCCTCTGCGTCACCGAAGAGAAGCGCAAGGGCCTCGGTCGATTCATCTCCAACCCTCCCGCCAACGGCGCCGCCGCCAACGACTCGGATCTCGGCAAGCCCGCACTCAAGCTCAAGGGTCGCATCTACCTTCGCCACATTCGCCGCGTCCTCGACTCGTCGGTCGCGGCAGAACACACCCTGAGCATCACCATGGACGACGAGAACCTCGACCAGTTCGTCCTCTGCTTCCGCGACACCGGCACCATGTCCGTCTGGCGATCCAGGTTGCAGGAGCTCATCGAGCCTGCCGACGCCTCCGCCTCAGCATCGCCCGCTGTTCTCATCGCAGAGCCAGCTGTAGCTGATGCGCCTCAGGCCCAAGGCATGCCGTCTGCCCAGGTCGATGAGGTCGCCAAGCCGGCTCATGCGCCCGGCGAGGCCGGCGCCGGCCTTGGTCTGAGCCCGCATCGCAACGGCGGCTTCCAGACCGTGACAAGTGGCTCGGCATCCGTGCTGAGCGGCAAGTCTGGGTCGCAGCAAGGGGCGGCGGCCAACGCGCAGTCACGCAACAGCCGCCGACTGTCCAATGTCTCGTCGAGCCAGCATAGCCAGCACGGCAACGGCGCCGCAGCTGCACGACGCATCTCGGCCTCGAGCGATGCGATCCCGTCGTATCAGCAGTGGTCGAGCTCGGGCGGACTGGATCCACGTCTGCCGCCGCCAAGCATGCTGCCTCACACGCCGATCGACCTGGTGCTCATGATCTCGGTGCCATCGGTGCTGCCAGAGCATGTCAGCGGCTCGATCAGCTCGTCGGCGGCGCTCAAGCTGCGGCTCATCCGTTCGTCGCTCGACTTTGTGATCCACAGCCTCGGCCCCAACGACCGCATCTCGCTCGTCGCCTTCACCGTCGGCATCGAGGGCGAGGTGAAGCGCACGGGCCTGCTCAACCCGCACCGCGAGCCGAGTCGATTGCTGCTCGAGGAGTTTGTGCAGAACATCGGGCGGCCGTGGGAGACGCAGGACGCCGATCCGTTCCGCGTGGATCTGAGCCAGCTCGGCGGCTCGAGCGAGCGCATCGACTCGGTGACGGCGGTCAACGTCGGGCTGGACGTGGTGCTGGGTCGCAAGGCCAAGAATGCGGTGACGAGCATGATGCTCGTCAACGACACCTCGGACGGGCCCAAGCGCAACCAGATGGACCTGGTCATGGCGCGCGCCGAGGCGGCCAACGTGGCGATCCACTGTTTTGGCTACGGCAAGACGCACGACCCGTCGTCGCTGTGGCTCATCTCGAACCACACGCGCGGCTCGTACACGTTTGTGCGCGAGTGGTACCAGCTGCGTGAGTGTCTGGCGGGCTGCCTAGGCTCCACCATGTCGGTGGCGCTCACCGAGGTCAAGGTGCACATTGGCGTGCCGCACGACAACTGCTTCCGCATCCGCAAGATTGCCGGCCTGCCCGGCGCCATCATCTCGTCGAGCGGCAAGGATGTGGACGTGGACATTGGCGAGCTCAAGTTTGGCGAGGCCAAGGATCTGCTGGTGGAGCTCGAGCTGGACGTGGCGAGTCTGCTGCCGACGCTGCTGGAGCAGCGGCGCGAGAGCAAGAGCATGGCGCTGGGGCCGATCGAGCAGGGCAGTGCGACGGACGACTTTATGCAGCGCATGGGCATCCAGGATCTGAGCCTGGCGGACTCGGACGGCGCCGAGGGCTTCCTCGAGCAGATGGTCGAGGAGATCGGCGTGTTTGAGGCCGACCTCAGCTTCAAAGATCCGGCGACGGGCATGAGCACCTCGCGGCTCGCCAATCCGGGCATCCTCACGCTCGAGATCGACACACACTCGCCCGATCCGCTCACGAGCGGGCCGGCCGGGCTCGCGGCGATCGTAGCCGAGCCCACGGTGACGCGACGTCGGCTGGAGGTGCTGGTGAGCGAGATGATGACGCGGTCGCTGCTGCTCATCTCGCGCAAGAACTACGCCCAGGCGCTGCGGGTGATTACCGAGACGCGACGCATCATCGACACGGTGGTGCAGGCTCTCAACGGACCGAACCAGGCGAAGCGTCGGTCGGTGGTGGTGCATCGCTCGAACCAGCGACGCGTGCGCGAGGCGGCCAACGCACGCACGATCGCCTCGCTGCTCGCCATGATGGGCGACCTGGATGTGCTGAGCGACGGGCTGGAGCACCAGCACCGCTCGAGCTTTGACCGCGACGGACGCAACTTTGGCGCGCAGCAGGCCATGATCCTACGCGACCAGAAGGCGTGGACTGCGCGCACCGATACCGAGCACCTCTACTTCCGCGACGACAATGCGGCTGCCTTTACGGCGTGGTCGGCGTCGTTTGCGTCGATGCGCTGACGGACACACACACACACACACTTTGAATTCTCACACTCTTTCGACTCTTTTTCGGCTTCGCTCGGCTCGGGCTAGGGTCTTGTCATGCAGACGCTCTTGGCGCCCATGGAAATTGACAGCTTTTCGAAATGCAACACGGCGCGTGCGGTGCGTGCCAAGGTTGGAGGCCAAGCGATGCCCAGGCTGGCGGTACGCGCGATGTGACTCGCGTGTAGTGGCGGGAGGGCTCGAGGGTTGCTTGGCCTGGGGAGCCAAGAAATCTGGCGCCGAGAGAGAGAGAAAGGGAGCGGGCTGAGTCCTTTGGGCGGAAGGATTAGTGAGCTTGTGTGCGGGCAGAATGGGCATGTGTGAAACGGGATGGACCTCTTTGGTGCGCAGCTGAGAGGCGGAGTTTGTTTCTGGCACAAGGGGAGGGGGAGGGCTGGGATTGATTGGGTTGGAATGTGCCAAGAGAGAGAGAGAGAGAGAGGGCTGGATATTATTCTGGTGCCAAGAAGGACGGCGGCTGTTGGCGTAGAGGATTGCCAAGAGGCTCGAGTTGGGTTGGGCTGCCAAGCCCTGTGCAACGCGCGCTGGATTGCCGGGCCCAGAAGGGTAGAAAAAATGCCAAGAGATTTTCGCAGAGCCTTGGATCCCTCCACTCACCGACTTGCAGGGCTCATTCGCAGAGCTGGCCCCCAAACCGCCAAGCCTTGAAGCGCTGCAGCCGGGTAAAGGCAGATGTTGACAGCTTGATGGCACGGCACGGCACACTCCAGCGCTCATGCCGACTCCTCGAAACCCTACGTTGAGAGCAAGCATATATACCAAGGGTGATTGTCGTCTAGTCGTGGTTGCCATCATAGCCATTCCTACATCTCTTGGTCAACTTCGAAAGGGGCTCGACTTCCATCATGCCGGTTCTGATGTCTCGTACGCACAAACCCGACTCCACCAACGCTGCTAGTTCCAGCAGCAGCAGCGGTGGCGCAAGTACGCGGCCACGAAGCATCGCGTCGACACGCAGCACACGCTCTTCGCACAAGGAAGCCGAGCTTCGAGCCCGCTGGGAGATGGCCCAAGCCATCCAGAAGCCCTGGCCTCTGCATCTGCTCGAGAACGGAACCAAGACCAATCCTGCACCTCAACGAAGCGAAAAGAAACGTGCCTCCTTCTCCCCACCCCCACCTGCCGCAGACGAGACAAAGAAACGATCCTCCATCTCGGGCTCTTCCACAGCTTCATTCACAAACTGGATCCGAAAGAAACCTTCTCCGCGCGAATCTTCGCCCGAGTCTGCTTCAACCTCCCCCTCCAGCTCTCCTAAACCCCTCTAATCGCTTCTCTTAGAAATCCTCCTTGCATACCCCCCGCATTATACCCACTCCAACATCGTAATGTCACCACAGTCCATCCTGAATACCGAGCTTGCGTGTGCCGCGAGTTGATGCCCATGCACCACGCTGCTTGCCCCCAGCCTGCTCTGCTTCCGTTCCTACCTCGCACAGCAAAGATGGGCAAGATCGGTGATTGAGAATCAAAAGGTGGGATGGCTAATTTACAAGATGTTCAAGCACAATGCTCGGCCGTAGGAGCCTGGATGCTCCCTTTTTGGGGGGGATGGGTGTGTGTGTGTGCGAAGCTGTGCAGATGCGATCGCGGCCGCCGACGGCTGGCCCCTGGTGCAGGACGTCTATTGGTCCTCGAGCGCCAGCTCCAGGTCGGCGCCGTAGAGCTTCGAGTTGAAGAAGCCGGGGTCGAACCAGTTGACACGCACGTAGCCGTCCTCACCGCCCGAGGCGTACGCGGTGCCGGCGGGGTGGATGGCGATGGTGTTGATGGGGCCAAAGTGACCGGGCAGACGCGCGCACTCCTCCTCAAACACCTTGTGCCAGAAGCGCGTCTCGAAGCGGCCCTGGCGCGCCGAGGTGGTGGTGACGTTCATGGCGTCCTGACCACCGCCGACGATGACAAACGGCTTGGTCGGGTGGATGGAGGCCGAGTTCAAGGGCGTCTCGGTGGCGTACGTCTTGATGACCTGGAGCGTCTTGGAGTCGATGAGCTTGGCCGTCTTGTCCCTGGAGGAGGTGGTGAAGTATGTGCGGTCTGCGCTCATCTGGAGGTCCGAGATCATCTCGCCCGGGTGGGCGTCGGTGGAGTTTTCCTCGAGCTCGGCGTCGATGCCGCTCTCGGGCTCCTTGTCGTCGTGGTAGTAGAGCGCCACCTTGCCGTTCTCGTGGCCGGTGATGATGTACTGGTCGCACGGCGCAAACGCGGCGACGACGGCCTTGGGGCCCGAGAAGGTGATGGTGCGCGTGGGCTCGGCCGACTGCTGCGTCCAGGTGGCCGGATCGCGGTTGATGCGGAAGACGCGCAAGGCGCCGCGATGACCCATGCGCGCCTCGGTGACGACGAGCACCTGGGTGCAGTCCTCGGAGAAGGCGACGCGCTTGGCTGCGGTGGCGAACTCCCAGACGTAGAGGCACTTGCCGGTTGCGACCTCCCAGAGACGCATCTGGTTGTCGGCGGAGCCCGAGACGAGGAGGGTGGAGGTGGAGTCTACGTCGACGGTCCATACGGTACCGTTGTGGCCCTCGTAGGTTCCGAGGCGCTCGCCATTGTGAGAGAACCAGGCGTTGATGACGGGGTCCTTTGCGACCGAGAAGAGCAGATCACCCTCGCGGTTGAACTTGATCTGGGTGAGCGAACGCTCGTGGCCCGAGAGAAGGATTGGCCGCTGCAGAATGTCAAAAGTGATGCACGAGCAAGGGGGTCAGCGGCGAGAGCGGCGTGGGTGTGTGCTAGCCGTGTGTGTGAAATGCTACGTACCATTGTTGCAAGTTTGCGGTGGACGAAGATGGTGGATTGAAGATGGTCTTCGGCCGCCGACTGCGAATCGACACCACCAGACGCGCAGCTGCCAGGCCAGCTGCCCCAGCCAGATGTCGAAAAGAATTCTCCACGGCAGTGCAGCCCAACAAGCCAGCGAGACTCAGCACCGCACCGCACGGCACGGCACTGCGCTGCCCTGGCCTGCACCTCGACGCGGGTGCCGTCAAAGTCAAAAGTGCGAAACGGCCGAGCCGAAGCGCATTTCTTCGCGGTGCAGCAAAACGCTCCGTGTTAGGCTGCAGAGCCCAGTCAAAATTTGTATTCGGTGCCCTCGCCCCGCCCAATTAGCAACGGTTTGAAGTGCGCGTCCAAGGGTTCAAATGAAGGCTGGCTTCGAGTGGTCCCTTTGACCGTTGACCTCTTCGTATGGGACGGCCGCCTCTGCTGGCCAACTCGGCTTCTCCGGCTCTGCCGTGTTGCCTGCAGTGGGGGGTTCGCAAGTGTCGGAAGCTTGCCGAATGGGTGGCAAGCCGGTCAGCTTCACGTCGCCGTTCATCGGTCTTGATCCGAGCATGAAGACGCGCCCCTGAGGGACAGCCTACGCGGTTGGCCATCCCTCAACAGCTCCTTGGTGCTGCACAGCTTGGTCTAGGTCGGTGTGCTTGTCTCGATCCTGCTGATACAGTGCGGTCATCATGTTGCAGCTGCGGGGGTGTCTTCCGATACGTAGATTTGTGGTTTGGGTGTGACCCGATCGCCCGATACGACAATGTTCGCTCACGTGGAAGCGTGGAGTCTGTCTCGACTGCATCCCCGGTTGAAGATGATTTCAATTTTTCAAGCCGGGCAGCCGCCAGGTGTATTTCCCAAACACACACAGAGAGAGACAGACAAAGAGAGACAGAGAGTCTGAAAGCGGCGGTGGCCGACCGACCGACTGACTGAGCCACAGCTGTGGACCTGCAAATCACCCAAAATTACACCCTGATGCATCTCAGCTGCGCAACCTCAGCTGCTGCCTCTCGCAATCGCCCGCAGCTACACTACGCCGCCTGCTGCCCGCCGCGCGCCCACACGCGCACGACTGCGTCCACACAAAGGCTCGTCCCAACAGCCGTTGGCAGTCCAAGCGGGCAGAGGCGAGGCCAGACCAAAACGGCCGTGCAGCAGCTCGTCTGCCTCCAGGCCGCTTTCGAGGCTGCTGCTGCCTGCCTGCCTGCCTGCCTGGATGGCCAAGTCCGACGAACCTCCATTGGCGCTCTGCCTCTGCCGCTCGCTCGGGCGTCGTCTCCACCGCCGCGTCTGCATCAGTCGAGCGTCTGGATCACCGTTCTTGATCCTCCATACGTCCACTTCCCTCCTCCTCCATCTCTTCTTCTCGATTCTCTCCTTTTGGGATTCTCGCTTCGACTTGGCTCCCGCATCGTCGCACGTCCATTCTTCCATCCCTGCGTCTCTGCGCGGTGTGGTCTGCTCGCTTGACGGAAGCATCCATCCATCGATCCGCACATCCGCTCCCAGCATATTTCGCCTTCTCCGAATCCATCCCGCTCGGCATCTTTGCTAATCGATCGTGACAGCCAAGCACCCTTCATTCGTCTCGTCACGCTCCCACATCCCTTTCCCGTCGGATCGCCCGAACTTGACCTACACCATCTTTTTCAACACTCGTCCATCTCTCCACCCGTCTCTTCCTGGGCCGTCTCGATCCGAGCGCCTCGCATCCTCCTTACATCATGGGTCAAACTCTCTCCGAGCCCGTCACCGAAAAGACCACCGGCTCCGGCGGCAATGACTCGGTCCTCTACGCCTACTCCGAGATGCAAGGATGGCGCATCAGCATGGAAGACTCGCACGCCACCATCCTCGACATCACGAACGCAGCTCACAAGAACGTAGGCAACTTTTTCGGCGTCTACGACGGTCACGGAGGCTCTTCCATCGCACAATACTGCGGTCGCAGGCTGCACAACGTCCTCATCGAAGAAGATCAGTTCAAAGACGGCCAATACACACAGGCGCTACAGAAGGCCTTCATCAACGTCGACGAGGATCTCAAGTCTGGTAAGCTTTCACGATTGGCATGCTTCGCATCTCGGTATTCCCTCACACACCGTCCACTCACACGCTCGCTCTGAATTTTGAATTACAGATCCCAACTACGCCAACGATCCGTCGGGCTGCACCGCCGTCACGGCGTTCATCCAGGCTTCCCAAAACGATCCAAAGCGTCTCGAGCGCATCTTTTGCGCAAATGCCGGCGACTCGCGCTGCGTCCTCTCGCGCGCAGGAGGCGTGATCGAGATGAGCCACGACCACAAGCCCACGCTCGACTCGGAGCGCGAGCGCATCGAAGCCGCCGGCGGCTACGTCAGCTGGGGCCGTGTCAACGGCAACCTCGCCCTCAGCCGTGCCATCGGCGACTTTGAATTCAAGAGGTCCTTCGACCTGCCCGTCGAACGCCAGATCGTCACCGCCTTCCCCGAGGTCGTCGAGCAGCAGGTCGTCGAGGCCGAAGACGAGTTCCTCGTGCTCGCCTGCGACGGCATCTGGGACTGCCTCAGCAGCCAGGACGTCGTGGACATTGTGCGACGAGCCGTGGCCAACGGCAAAGAGCTCCAGGCCATCTGCGAAGATCTCATGGACCGCTGTCTCGCACCGGACTCGGACACCGGCGGCATCGGATGCGACAACATGACCGTCTGCGTCGTCGCCCTGCTCAACGGACGCACCAAGGAAGAGTGGTACAAGTGGGTCAAGGACAACATCGACGTGCCCAAAAACGGTCGCAAGACGCCCGACGATGTGGCGCCCGTGTTCAAGAACACGCAGCCAGCCGCGCGCGACGCCGACGGCGCCATGGACGGCACCGTCAGCATCCAGTCTCTCTTGTCCGGAGGCCTCGCACGAGGCGCAGGCGGCGCTGGCGACGACGAGGAGGGGTCGCTGCGTTTGCCTGGCGGCCTGGCGGGCGCGCTGAGCGGCGCGGGCATCGTCTTCCGACCCGGCGGACGCTCCGAGGGTGGCGAGGTGGTCTACGAGGCTCACGTCGTCGACGAGGACGACAGCGGCGACGACCAGTCGGACGGTTCGAGCCAAGACAAGAGTGCAGCCGACAGCACCTCTAAGCCCACCTCGACTTCCACGGCCGACGCCACCGCCGAGCCCAGGCTGGTCGAGTCGCCACGACAGGATGCCAAGGCGGCGGCAGGCGGAGCGACACACGACTCGGACAAGATGGACGTGGACAAGGGGGCTTCGAGCGCCTAAACCTGCGTCGACGCGACAAGCGTGAGCGCAACGGCCTCCTTTCACTCCGCATCCGAACTCACCTTCCCCTTTGACCCGCGCCTCCGGTCCCCCCTTGACCCTGCCCTCCCAACCCAGATTGAACCATGCCTCTGCGCGGGTCCTGCCATTGTAGACACTACGATACCAGCTTTGCCACATGCACGAGACGACGCGGAATTCCCAGCCAACGTGAACTTGCGAGCGAGCGGGCGATGTTGCTACTGAAAGTGAACCGGGACGGACAAGGTGAGCCGAGCCGACGGGCGGATGGGGTGTTTGCAAGGCCCCGTGTGGGGGGGTCGCAAAGGGGTCCATGCATCGTGGGCCATGCGTGTGCGCCAAAGTGACACTCGGTAAGGGAAAAAAAGACATGCAGGCGCCGCGTCGGCAAGAGAGTGCCAGCTGCACCTCTGAGGGCGTTGCCACCTGTCGAGCAAGCCCCTGACTGCTCATCACCCCACCCCACCCCAACACCTTTGAACCCGGCGTGGTCGGGTGGTGCAGGCACTACCACATCCTTAGCTTGCTCACCACCATCCATGCCACACACCTCTGCATCTTGACCATCCCACGGCGCGGCCCCCTTGTCGCCCAAGATGCCGTTCAACTACGGCTTTCTCAGCCACACGGATCCGCTCGTGTTTGATCCCAACAACTACATCCTCACCACCAATGGCTTTGGGCTCTTTCTCACGCAGGTCATCATCATCATCCTGCTATGCCAGCTGCTCGGTCGCCTCTTCAAGCTCATCGGTCAACCGGCGGTCGTGGGCGAGCTGCTTGCTGGCATCCTCCTCGGTCCCACCGCACTCGGCAACATTCCAGGCTTCACCGAGACCATCGTGCCCACCCAGGCGCTCGGACTGCTCAAGCTCATGGCGGGCATCGGTCTGTCCCTCTTCCTCTTTCTGATCGGGCTCGAGACGGATACCGACCTCATGGCAAAGTACTGGCAAAAGGTGCTGCTCATCACGCTCCCCGGCATGGCTATTCCGTTTGGCATCGCCGTCGGCATCGCAAGACTCATCTGGCAAATCGAGACAGACCAGACGGTCAAGTTCACCACCTTCTTCCTCTTCGTAGGCACGGTCATGGCCGTCACGTCGCTCTCGGTGCTCTCCAGGATCATGGCCGAGATGAACATCCTCAGCACACGGCTCGGATGCATCACCATCGCCTCGGGCGTGTGCAACGACCTGATCGGCTACGTGCTCCTCGCGCTCGGCTCGGCGCTAGGCACGGGAGGCAAGCAGATCGATGCGCTCTACCAGCTCCTCGCTGCCGCCGCCTACATTGCGCTGCTCTGGTTCGTCTTTCGTCCGCTCATGAACCGCCTCATCGTGCGCAGCGGCTTCGACATGTCACCCGGAGCCGAGGACCGCGTGCCCGAACATCTGCTCGTCATCGCACTTGTCGGCGCACTCGTCAGCGCCTTCTACACCGACTCGATGGGCGTCCACCCCATCGTGGGCGCCTTTAGCTTCGGCGTCTGCTGCCCACACGGCAACTTTGCCGTCAGGGTGACCGAGAGCATCGAAACGCTCGTCATGCTCGTCCTCCTCCCGCTCTACTTTGTCACCAGCGGCCTCAGCACCAACTTCAAGCTGCTCAACGACGGCACCACCTGGGGACTCATCGTTTTGCTCGTCGTCGGCATCTTCGTCAGCAAGTTCGGCGCGACCGCCGCAAGTGCACGGCTGACGGGGATGAAGTGGCGCGAGGCCATGTGTGTGGCAAGTCTGATGCAGAGCAAGGGCATCATCGAGATCATCATCCTCAACGTCGCGCTGCAGCTCGAGGTGGTGAGTGCAAAGGTGTTTGCCATGCTTGTCATCTGCTTCCTCTGCACCACCATGTCTGTGCGCCCGCTCTCGCGCTACGTCTACTTTTCCAGCCTGGCGCATCAGGCCGGCGAACAAGCAAGTGGCGAGCACGACGAGAAGCAAGTTCAGTCCGAGCCCGCAGAGAAAGATGGGGCTGTGGACCAGGCCGCCGAGGCGGGCGATTTCCCCATCACGATCGCCATCGCTTCGCCCAGCCCGGCAATCCAGACGCTCATGTACCTGCTCGACCTGCTTGGGCAGCACAACCTTACGGGCGCCTCCACCGCTCCCATCGCCGAAACGGACGAGACTGCCGGCCAGATCGCCGTCGACTTGCTGCGTCTGCTGCCGATCGAGTACACCACCTCATCAATCATGCAGCTCATCAACTACTCGGACGAGCGCCAGCGCGACGAGATGATGGAGTCGCTCAAAAAGGTGCAACACCTCTGTCGCGTGCCCACCTCCAGTGTGCTCGCGCACGAGCGCCGGCTCGGCCATCTCAGCACGACGGTCGCCACGCCCGGTGCGGCGCCCACGCCGTTGAGCTCTACCGATGTTCCGCCCGATACATTCATTGTGCCGCGCAGCGAGATGATCCGCACGATCGCGCAGCAGAACGCCAAGGCGCAGCGTCGACTCGGCACCCCGGGCGCGGCGACGGAGCTGGGGCGCGGCTTGGCACTGGTCACGTGGGAGGCGCACAATGCCTATGGCCGCGGGCTGTCGTGGCTGGGCGCCGCAGCGGCTGCGAGCGGTCTCTCGTTTGCAAAGACGCTCAACGACGAGGATGCAGCCACGAGCTTCTGGCAGGCGAATTCGGACGCGCAATCGCTCCCCGCGCGCCTCTTTACGGGTCTCAGGCGACAATGCGCCACGGGTGTGCTGCTCGACCCTAGCACGACGCGCGTTGCAGCCCTCCCTCCGCAGCACGGTAGCGAGGCTCAGCGCGAGGCGAGACGGGTGGAGCTCGAGCGGGAGCACGGCCTGCAGCGTCGTGCGGGGGTGCGTCGTATCGTGGTCCCCTTCTTCGGCGGTGCGGACGATCGGGCGGCGGTGGAATTGGTACGGCGCATTGTGCACAGTGCGGGCGGAAGTGTGCAGGGTGTGGTGGTTGCGTTTGCCAATGATGCAGTTGCGGATGTGGCGCGGCTTGTTGAGCCACACGTGCCACGCGCGCCGGAGGTGGGTGCGATGGACGACGACGCCATGCACTCGATCAATCTGCCCACCGTCCACGCGCAGGAGGCCGCGCGGGTGGATGCGCGCTTCCTCTTCCACCAGCTCGATGCGTCCACTCGCGCGATTCCCGAAGAGCCTGCCACTGCCGCTGCCGATGAAGGCCGTGAGGTCGAGACGGATCGTGCGGGGTTGGTGTTCATCACGCTACCCGCGGCGGAGGAGGACGAGACGAGGCTGCCAATTGCCACCATGGCGCGCGTGGTGGTACCGCTGCTGGACGCTCGCACCGACATGCTGGTGGTGGGCAGGGGCAAGTGGTCCCAACGTCCGCGCCAGTTCCGTCAGGAGGTCGAGCAGATGCACGCCGCCATGCCCGCGGTGAATGACGAGGTGCGCGGCGACATCCGGTCCGCGGGAACATGCCTGGGTGCCGTCACCGAGGCGTTTTTGATCCACCGCCTCGATGCCTGCGCTATCGTCGTGCAGGCTGCGCAACAGTAGATGATACCCATGCAATGCAATTACACAGCTCCAACACAATGTGTGATGCCGTTCCCAGTGCGAACTGGCAGCAGCCAGGGACCTGCGAAATAGAGCGACAAAGTTGAGTGTTGGTGCCGACCTGAGAGCGGGCAACTGGGACCAGCCGAAGGTGGCGACCACCATCACGCGCTGCTGGACCATCACTGACGACAGAGCGAGCCCACGGCGCCACGCTCGCATCCTGCAAACCACTCACATCACAAACATGATGTTAGACGCTCGCCACCTTTGCCTCGATCACACCTCAACCCTGCACACATTAAGCAAGACGAGTGAGCATTTCATGACCAATACATTGCGGTGATTTAGGCAGCATCACACCCCCAGCCGGCCCAGTTGGGATTGTCCATCGGATCCTTGAGCTCGTCGAAGCTGCACTCGGAACCATGTACAAATTCGGCGCCGTACCACTTCTCCAACAGCAGCGCGACTGCGTTCCTCGCGGCGATGGTCGACGTCTCCATGGTCGAGACGAGCGACTCCATCGCGTTCGGGTACACCAGCCCCTCATCAATCTGCACCGCCGGGAAGCGTTCCGTCGGTGTCAAGTACGGGTACGAGTCCCACTCGTGTCTGCGCACCCACGTCAGCGTCTCCCTTCCAAACAATGCGTCCAGCATCGAATCCGCCACCGGCGCGGCCGAAAAGATCTTGACTACGTACTCCTTTTCCTTGTTCGAGGAAGTATTGCGCTCGATGGAACGCAGGTAGTTGAGCGAGAAGAACTCGTGCTTGGGCGTCTTGAGCTTGTCACCCAACGAAGGCGGCTCGGTTCCCGGATCCTCGGGCTCAGGCACGGGCTTGTGCTTGTCCTGTGCGCGCCTCACGCTCTCGTCCGACGTCAGAATCGTTCGGGGCACCACGTCCTGCGATCCGAGGCCAAAGTACTCGGGCCTTGGACTGGCGCGCGTCGTAGTCAAGAGCGTCACATGCAGGTGCACAAACGGCTTGGCCTTGACACGCTCGGGCGTGTTGAGCAGCGTGATGTCGGCGTTGTGCCACGGAGTCGCGATGATCACCGCGTCGTACACCTCGCCCTCGCCACTCTTGGCGCCCACGTACCACTGCACGTTGTCGGTGACGCGTCGGCCGCGTGTGGGCTTGGGGAGCCGCACGATACCAGTCACCTGCCCCTGGACGCCCGTGAGTACGCGTGCGCCACTGCGGCGGGCAAACTCCTCAAAGATGCGGTAGTTGCCCTTCTTGACTCCCGTGGCGCCCGAAGCAGCGAGGCTGACCAGCGCGCCAAAGCCGTGGATCTGGTCCGTATCCTGCGCATAGTTTACGCGCGTCGCGGCCTCCACCATCTCCTCGATGAAGAGCTCCGACACGCGGCGCTCCTTGAAGAACTGCATGCCCGTGGTGGCTGCGAGTGCCGACGCATTCACCGCATCCGCGAGGCGCTCGATCGACGTCCACGGATATCCGGATGCGGTCGCACCTGCATTTGGCTCCGCTTGGCCGCGCGCATGCAGGAAGCTCGGGCGATACAGCGCGCCGAACGCGGCGAGCTGCTTCTTGACGACGCCCTCGGTGGTGATGGCGCTGTATCCGTACCTTAAAAAGAACTTGGCGCTCGTCCACCAGCTGCTCTCGTCGCCCTCAAACAGAAACTGCTGGCCGTCCCAGATGCCCATCTGGCCGTCCATGCCCATATGCGCACCCGTGTCGAGCGCAAACTGCTTGACGGCGCGGCGCAGGTTGAGATTGACGTCGGCAAAGATGCTTGCGCCGAGCTCGATCGGGTCGTGCGTGTCATCGTCGTGCGGATAGACGACGGCGACGCGGCCACCGATGCGATTTTCGCGCTCGTAAATGGTGATGTCCAGCGCCTCGGTGGTGGCGGAAAAGTTGCCGGACGCAAGCCGATCCTGTGCGCGCTTGAGATAGTACGCCGCCGATGTGCCCGAGGGCCCTGCACCGATGATGGCGATCTTGCGCGTGCGGCCGGCTTGGAGAGCGGAAGCCGCGTCGTCCGCCTCGTAATAGTACTTTCCGTCGGCGAGCGGTGCTCGTAGAGTTGCTGCAGCGGCGAGCTGCAGTAGCGCAGCCAGCAGCAGCCCAAGCTGGGGCATGCGTGCGAGCCACATCATATCGAATCGCGAGAGGCGGTGCTACACTCACGAGCAAGTGGAGGTATGTGTGGGGGTGTAGATATCGTTAGCAGGTGGGATTGCACATGCACACGCAGCCTGTGCGGCTTCACAAAGCGTTGCGTGCCGCCATGAAAGGGGGGCCCCGAGATGAAAGGGAGGCGTCGATGGAGGTACAAAGGGAAGCCGGCGCGGGCCGTGTGGCTGCGCGCTCAGTCCAAGCGCGCACGAGCGCTGGGGCCACCAAGCCAGGGTCGCCCCTCTCCCTCACTGACCCTCTCCTGCACTGCCGCTTTGCTGCATCAAAAATCAAAGATCGGCGCCTCTCTGCTGCAAGCTCAAAAAACCTCCACCTGCAGGGTCCACCGCTGCGCCTCTTCACCATCCAGCCGGCGAGCGTATCGCCGGCCCGCTTCTCGCCGTCGTCACGGTGACCGTCGTCGTTGTCTCTCCTTCAACCACACACGCCGGGAGTATCCATGGTAAGAGCAGTGTACACGATTAAATTAGCAGCTCATATCACAGAAGGAAACATAGTACAAAGTGTAAGCCTTGATCTCGAGCGACAGCGAGTATTGAGCCGCTGCCGAAGGGGGAAGTAGGAAGATAGGAAGTGTCCGTTCTTTTTAGCGGGCCGTTCTGATGTAGCACGACTACACACGCACAGCCGAGTCGACGAGCGACTTGTTGTCGAGCCGCGTGTGCCAGTCGCGCAGCTTCTCCAGGCTCGGCGAGCGCCCCAGCGGCGATGCCCGGCGGCCGTGATGCGTGATGGTGTAGTGGTTCGCAATGGGCGAGCGCTCCACCTCGTCCTTGTCGCCATCCGATACGCGTCGGCGCGACGGCGAGCGCTGGTCCTCGTCCGAGTCCTCAGCCCATCGCTTCGCCGCCGAGTTGCGCGCCTCGCCTGACTCGTGCGCCGCGCCGTTCCGCGTGGGCGCCGCAGCCAGGTTGGGCGACTCGTGCTGGGCATACGGGCGAGCGCCGTACGGAGCAGGTCCATGCGCGGGTCCAAAGCCGTTTGGCGCGCCGTTGAACGCGTTCGACGGCATTCCGCCGATCCTGGGCCCATTGGTCGCCTCTCCGCTGTTGCTGCTGCTAGCGCCGCTCATGTGGCGTGCGCTGCCAGATGCACGGCGCTCTTCGTCGCCTCCAGGGCGCCCGAAGCGACGCAGGTGGTCCTTGTCGTCTGGCGGACTGCGATTGCTGTAGCCTCCGAGCGCGTGAGCCTCGAGCGGACCGCGATGCTGTCGTTCCACCACGCTCTCCAGCTCACGAATGTACTCGAGCGCTCGCTTCAGGATGGTTGCCTTGCTGTCTTGCCCATCGCGGCACGCCGGTATCGCCTGACGAAGATCCTCGAAGCCGGTGTTGATCGACTCTCGGCGCTTCTGCTCGGACAAAAGGTGCGCCACTCTTCGGTTCGCGTTGACCGAGCTGGCAGCCGCCGGCCCTGCTGTTGCTGCCACCGCCGATGCGGGCCCCGGCACGTCGCCCGGCATGCCGCCTCGGTTCATGACGCCAAGCGAAGAAGCAGGTCGAGGCGGCTCCATGCCGTGCATCATGTTGGGCCTCATGGCGCCCGGGCCGGGTGCCACACTCTGGCTCCGCGAGTCGGGAGGGCTGTACGGTCCCGCGCCGTACGGTCGTGCATGTGCGGGTGGGTATCGCGGAGCATCGTAGTCTGCGTCGACCAGGCTGGGCGGGCCAGGCGGGCCGCGCCGGCGAACACGGCGGTCGTCGAGCGCCTCGACGTCCAGCGGCCGTGCGCCGCGGGGGTCGGAGGGGAAAGCGCCCGGATGCGCAGGCGGCCCACCATGTTCGTAGGGATGCATCGGTCGGCTGCCAAGTTCGCCACCCCATCGCTCGTCCTCGCGCATGCGTGCGTGGGCTAGGGCATCGGGGTGCGCATCGGCACGGTCGTA